ATATTTTATAAAATCATTACTCATTCAATCCCTTTTCTTGTTTACAACTATATATCTTGCTTACAGGTTTGCCTCAAATAATATAAAAATATAAACCATGTTTAATCTAATTTTTAATATTAATGTCAAAAGACTGCTGAACTAGCAGCATGTCCACGTGGTAAGTAAGAGTGGTGGGTTTGAATCACGCTTGAGCCAATTCATTTTTTCCAGAACCTTCTAAATTATTAAAATATCAATTTTAATGATTTGGAAGGTTTCGGATATAATTTTTATAATTAATTTAACATTTAATTATTAATAGTAGCATTAATATAGCCTGACATAAACTGGCAATTGTTTGGCATTAGTAATATAATGCAGAACCTTGGATAATTGCAACTCAGATAATCAGGGTTTTATTGTATATATATATATAAAATATTACATAAATAGATTTATTTATTTTTATAGCAGTGGATAATTTTATATAAAGTTCTATTTAAAAAAATCTTCAAAGTAAAATGTGAAAATCTATTTTCTATTTAAATCTGAAAATCTGTTTGTATTTGTTGTACTTTTAAAATATTAAACTAGCAGAGACTTGTCTTCATTGTTATGAAAAAACAAGTACAGATACAAATTGAAGAAAAACTATAATTATAAATTTTTAACACTTTAATTTATAACTTTTCTTAGTTGTACTTTGTATTTATTTATAATAAAAGAATAATAAACAAAATTTTCACTTGCAAGAGCAAGAATAAAATAATAATCCATATTTGATGTTGTTAACAATTGACACATTATTTCAGAAAGAAGAAAAATAGAAATGTTTAATTATTATTTTCTTTAAATTTTGGCCAGCAATTTTTTAAATCTGACATTTGTGACAAAAATTAAGAAATTACAAATGACACAATAACTTTTAATTAGATACAAAAATTTATGCCTTAGGTGCAATCAAAAAGAAATATGATTTGATCTATGAAGATTTTAATACTTAACTAATTTAAACCTGTCTCTATCTCCTTCATGATAGTTTCTTCCTGCATTTTATATAGCAATTCCACTACTTTCACCAAGCCTCAAACAATCTTGGAAGTCACTGTTTTGAAAATTCCAAAGCACCTGTAGCAATTTGGACTGGTTTCTCCTCAAATGTATCAAAATGCTACCTCTTGATTTTCAGTTTTATTCTTGAGAACAAAAATAAGTCACAAGGGGCTAAATTCAGCAAGGAGAATGGGAAGGAATGTAATGTTATTTCTCACCGAATACATTCATTTGGAAGGCCATGCACAAGTACATCATCATTATAAGAAAGTCAGGTTTGGTTTCATCTCAGCTCTGATCTTTTGCAATCAAGGTTCTTCCTTACACAATCATTTCAAAATATCACAAAAGTCTGAATTCACTCTCTGACTGGGACAAACAGATAATTCCCAGTACACAATTCCTTATGGTTGAAAAAAATGATAAACATGCTTTTTGTCACACACTTGCCTGTTTATGGTTCTAAAATATTTTAATCTCATCCACGGCTTCATTACTATAGGCCTCCTAAATCATTTCAAGGTTTGAGAGACCATTCCTATATGGCAGATTTCCTAGGTTTAATGCAAAATTTAACATTCTCTCTCTTCTCTCAATTTTTGAATTCATTCTAAAATTGAAGCATGATATTAACACATTACAAAGCATAGTATAGCAAGTATTATGGTTTGAAAAACTCAATGCCATTTGGTAGACTGACACTCAAATGTCTAAGGCAGAGATCCTTGATGAAAAAACACTGTACATCGCACATTATTGCAAACAGTGGAAACAGTCCAATTTCTTTTCGATCACATCAAACATATAAATGAATAGATTTCAATATATTAAAAACAACTAAATAATTAAAAATCTTAACCTTGTCAACTTTTACTTCAAAAATATACTATGAATTCTATGAAGAAATTTAATGAATGATAAATTATACTACCAATTTATTTATTACTTAAATTAAAATTACATCATCAAAAGAATTTGAAATAGCACAATATACTATTTAGTTTTACTAGTTTTTCATAAAAAAACATGTTATAAATAATGTCACAGAACATTTTAATTAATAACTAGCATTTGTTTTTTTGCTTATTTGGAAATTAATAGAAATGCCTGAGAAATAATATAACGTTCACCAACTTTTAAATTTGAATTCAATTTTTATATAATGGAACTATATCAGACATAGCAATTTTTAATTCTGTAATATATTGAATCAATTGCAATTTTATTATGAAAAAAAGGAAGTAGCAATTTTTCTCAATCTATAAAATAAAAAAAAATTAATACAGCCACATTATAAATCAGCCAACATAAAAAAACAGCTGAAATATTGTATATATAATTTTAAAAAATCTAAAAACACCAAAAAAACTAAAATTTTCCAAATTTTTCATATTCACAAAATCCTACAACTTCTAATACTTTCTTATAGACTAAAAACTACACACCTTGCATACAATCTTCCAGCAAATATGATTTGAATTAAACACAAAACAACGTTTTTGGCCTCTTTTGGGGGCCTGCATCAAGCATCAAACTTTACAGAACATTAGAATTTCAAATTTTAAAGCTTTTTAAAAATTGTTTTCTTTTTGATGTCAATTCATTTTTGAATGTTCAACACGTGTGTTACATTTTACATATACTCTACAAATTAATATACAATAAAAATTAAGCAAAATTTAATGCAAATACATATTTGCTGGAAGATTGTATGCATGGTATGTAGTTTTTAATTTACCTACATTCCAACTATTAGAGATTTTTATGTTTCTTATAAACTTGTGATGTAGCAAAAAATTGTTATATTATAGCACAATAGTCTGGAGAATTTTTATTCAAATATAATATGTTATATAAGCAGTATAAGCAAAGGTTACTAGAAACTCTTTTAATGTTTTGCCAACATTTAAGTTTATAGAAATCACTTTTATATAATAAAAGAAGAATGTATATATCATGCTAACCTTATGAAGCTTTGCAAATATTTTTAACATATCACAAACATTTTTGGTCCACCTTAGCACATTCTTCAGGTAGAGTTCTATTAGAGAGAACCTTTTTTCAGTGCAATTCTGTTCTATTCCATTTCCAATGTGTTCTAATTTCCTTTCGAATTTTCCTTTTAAATTTTAAATTCCTAACGATGTGTGCCTGCATTGGCGGCTGTAACACTGAGTCATACATAGTCTGCCACGCCCTCGTGAGTTGTTTTTTGTCTTTAAAATTGATTGAAATGTCTTGGCGTTCTGTTTTGAAAATTTCTAATGCCTCCAAATTCCTAAGTTAATGCATATGCTGAGTTTGCCTGAACATGGTCGCCTGTTGTAATTCGGATGTTCGGGTTTCACTGGCATAGATCGCTAAGGTGGTAGTGTTTTTCTTCTTTTTAATATCAGTTTTATGCTCACAGAGGCGTTGTTTGAGCAATCTTCTTGTAGATCCGGTATATACAAGATTCCTATTGAATCTGTCATCCTTGAGAGGAATTTTATACCCTCCTGGCGCTTTTTCTATGTCCGCTCGATCTTTCTTGTTCCTTAGCAATTGTGGTGCATCTTTTGGAAGCCAAAATCACCCCCAAGTTCCTTTCCAATATTGCAATATATAAGATACATTGACGATGTATACATCATCTGGAAAACAAAGCCGAACATTGAAGAATTTATGCACTGTATGAATAACAATCCGTATGGTCTTACAATTGAATTAGAACAAATAAGCAATAAAGCAGCTCATTTTTTGAACATTAATATCACATTTAATGGCCGCAGATGTGATACTAAGGTATACCATAAACCAATATACATCCCATCTCTGTAACGATCCGCATGACTACAAAATGACAACCTTTAGGGAGCTTATTAGAATAGTCCACATGCACTGTAATCATTAATGAGACAAGCAGAGGGAAATAAAAAGAATAGCAGAAGTTGCTGAAAACCATGGCTATATCGAAAAGTTGAAATTTAAAATAGTGGACAAGCAAAAATGTTGACTTGAGGATCAATTGAGTAGAGTTTCAAAAAATACTCCGCAGTAAGATGTGTCTCCCTAACATGACTATAATGCAGGAGTGCCATATGCAATCCCTATATAGAGACATTGGGACGTATACTAATTCAAAAATAGCCTACAGGCATAAACTGGATGTATTCACCATGCTAAGGAACAAGAAAGATCGAGCGGACATAGAAAAAGTGCCAGGAGGGTATAAAATTCCTCTCAAGGATGACAGATTCAATAGGAATCCTGTATATACCGGATCTACAAGAAGATTGCTCAAACAACGCCTCTGTGAGCATAAAACTGATATTAAAAAGAAGAAAAACACTACCACCTTAGCGATCTATGCCAGTGAAACCCGAACATCCGAATTACAACAGGCGACCATGTTCCGGCAAACTCAGCATATGCATTAACTTAGGAATTTGGAGGCATTAGAAATTTTCAAAACAGAACGCCAAGACATTTCAATCAATTTTAAAGACAAAAAACAACTCACGAGGGCGTGGCAGACTATGTATGACTCAGCGTTACAGCCGCCAATGCAGGCACACATCGTTAGGAATTTAAAATTTAAAAGGAAAATTCGAAAGGAAATTAGAACACATTGGAAATGGAATAGAACAGAATTGCACTGAAAAAAGGTTCTCTCTAATAGAACTCCACCTGAAGAATGTGCTAAGGTGGACCAAAAATGTTTGTGGTACATTAAAAATATTTGCAAAGCTTCATAAGGTTAGTGTGATATATATATATATACATATATACATATATCACACTAACCTTATAAAACAAGAATATTTGCAAAATAAAAAGACATACTTTTTATTTAAAAACTTTCAATTTTTATATTTTATCTTAATATATAATTTTTTTCAAAATGCATTATCTATTTATTTAACTTCTCAATAATGCACTACTACAGAAAATTTCAATAATTATGATCTTTGTTTAATATATACCTTTGTTTTCCTTCTTCGTTAGATGGTCTTGTTGGAGTTTTATCTCCTTTACTACGCTGAGAACGTCTTTTACGTAGTCTGCGAAATGACTCTCTCAGTGATTTCTTAAAAGATTTTCTCCTTGACATAGCTGCATCTCCAGTTGCTGACAAATCTTTAATCAAAGTAAATTTTTTTATAAACAAATATAATAAAACAGTGGAAAATCATTACTACTTACAAATAGTAGTAAGAAAATAAGTAGTAATGTAAGTAGGAAAATAATATTTTATTTTTAAAAATTTTATAAATTTATACATTAACATTTCTCATGTATTATGATATTCATAAACATATTCTGTATTAAATAAATTCCAATTTAAGTAGGATTTTCTGATCCAGAAAACAAATAAATTTATACTTAAGATAAACTGAACAGAAATTATAACAAAAAAAGGGCAGCATGTTAGGAAAGGCATAATAAAACATTAAAATATAAAACAACAATAATAAAAAGTTTTTCAAGTTATATAAAATATAATGGCATGGTGCATTGCAGTCACCATGCATACAAATTTATCTCTGCAAATAGTATGAGAAGAGAAAGTTCTGTAGCAAAGGTTCCTTATAGTGGTCAAAGACACTGCTGCAGAATGTTTGCACTAATCTCAATCAAATAATCATAAATTTCTGGTGGTTTGTCTGGGACATCCAGAACTTGTCTGCCATGTATGTTTGCCCTAATGTATATATTACATGATTTTTGCTTCTTTTCTTAAAAATTAAGTATTTTTTAAGGACTTAAAGATTGCAAAAAAATTTTTAAGCCCCTATAGGGACCGTTTATTTTGAAAGTGGTGTAAGTCCATTTTTGGAAAAACTTGAGAAAACACATAATATACATACAATTTAGTGTGAACTTTTTATTTATAAACAATTCACACTTAACATTTTAAAATAACCATAAGCTTTGATCAACTGAAAATTTATTGGTAAATGGCATTGCATAACCATTGATTTTGAAAGTGGTGTAAGTCCATTTTCTACAGTCTAAGCACTTGGGCTGTCCATAAATTACATGTGCATTTTTCTTGAAATTTTTACTTCCCCCTCTTGTTCCAGTTTGTCCAAGTTTTTGTAACCTTTCCCCTCTATGGATGTCCAACATAACTCTATCCCCGTTAAAACCTTCATCACTTTATGAATGATAGATACCATAAGTAAAAATGAAACATACAAGAAACTTTGAAATAAATATAATAAAATGCATACTGTATAAATTTAAAGAAATAAATGGATGTCCACTAATACTCAACCCCCCTTGTCCGACTTGTCTTAACCCCCTCCCTCCGTTTCAGTGTGGATATCATTTAAAGACAGCCCCTTACAACAGAGGAGTAAAACTATAAATATTACCAACAAATGTACAATTTGATGGAATGTAAAAAATCCATGTAATGAATCTAAATGAAAAGCAGTGTCTAATGGTAAGCTCATAATAATGATAAATTTATCATAAAATAGTTTAACAATAAGTAAATATTTTAATGTTCAGAATAAACAATACTATTTTTTTCTTGTTATTATATATGGACAAAATCAGAATAAAACATAATGTGTTACAATGAAAACTGAGTTTTACATAATAGAAATTTAATGAATTTTACAGTTCAATAATTATGAAAGTGGTGCAAGTCCATTTATGGCCCAGAAAGAATATATTAGTTTAGTTAAATTCACATAGAAGTCGTTATGCAATCAACTTACATATTTCTAAAATCATAAAAACATTGTCAAACTTAGTACACTTTATTTATATATTTTGAATCAACTAAAATGCAAATGTTTAAATATCTCAAAAGAAGAAAAAATGGACTTACACCACTTTCAAAATAAACGGCCCATATCTTCAGACTTTAATGAATGCTATATACCCAAAGAATTGAGTATAATGAGTCTCTTTAACCATTTAACGTTAGATCTAAATCACATTGAACAGCATAACACTTTGTATAATTATGGACGATATAAATAACTTGTAACTGGTCAATGTTTAACAAACAAGCAAACAATCTCATACCATAAAAGTTCATTTTTATTGTCAGGTTTGTGATTAATTTATTCATTATTTATTGATTAACTCTTATTTCCCCAAAGTACCGATTTGCCTTCCCCCCTCCTTCATAACGATGTTCCGGGGTAACGATTCGTCGATACCGTAATAAAAATCGATTTTAATGAAAATTCTTGGCAACAGATGCCACCACTTGACGGTAGTGTGTTGTTTACCATCTGTTTCACATATTTGTGTCCAGGTGGTGTTTTGTCGACTCAAAAATTTTTATTTAGCGATTTTTTTTTTAATTTAAATATTTTCCAATTTATTTTATAACATATTTACGTAATAATATTACTATAATACGTTNATGTTCAGAATAATCAGAAGCATATTAGACAAGATAATGTACTTAACTTTAAATAATTTGGTACATAAATTCATTTTATTCACAACAAATAAAAATAATCTATTTAAAATGAAAAACCAACATATTATAAAATTAATTAAATCAACGTAATAAAGGTTAATATTAACCAGTGATGTCTACAAACTAGCTACACCACAATCTAATTGACAGATAAACTTTCATGAACTCAGATAAGAAAGTGGCCAAAATGAAGATAATGCTAAAAAACAGGGCCACAAATTTCAAATGGAAACTTTAAATCTGTTGACAATAAACTTGTTCAAGGTAGAATATGGTTATTTATATGATCAGAGTCCGCATGGCAGTTTTTATTTCCTATCCAGCAAAAATCTTCTGGTGAGAACAGTGCAACTTTCTTCTGGTCAATGTTGTACATACTGAAATGGACAGTATAGGAAATGTAGCACTTTTGGCATTGGGAAAACAGTGGAAAATCATTTGAAACTACTTCCACAAAAGGACACAAATTAGAAAACATAACTTTATCCCATTCAGTGAAGAACCCAACAATTTAAATTATTAAAAATAACTTTACAGGTAATAGTTAATGCCTAAATCTAAATCAGTTTACTATTTTCTTCTGTAATAAAACAAACAGTCCTTGACTTAGATAAGTAGATCATTCAACAATTCTACACACAAGAGAAAGTTAAAAGTTTACATCTCATACTGTCAAACCTAATGGGAAAAATATTTGACTGAGATTTTATCACAGAACTAGATCAATCGATAGATAATTTCATGACTTTAAAATAAGTGGCCCTAGCCATCCCTTTGCAAGAAAATACTTTAATTTTATGAAATAAAGTAATAAATATTTCAGAAAAACAACATTAAAATTAAAAATTTGTTTTTTAAAGTTTTTTAATAATAGAAATTAAAAAAAACGAAAAAAAATAGAAATAATACAAGACTTGATCCACAGTTCATTATTTACAGCAATTTCAACTATGCCTTCTAATCCTGCTAATGAAAATTCAATTCCTACTATTTAAAGTAAAGAATTTCATTAAATTCATATGACATGTTCTCATGAAAGAAGGCCAGTGCCATATAATCATCTTTCAATATGACCTATTTCATAGTAAAACATCAGCAAAATCTGTTTCCCATATTGATAGAATAAGTTCATATCTAAACTTATTCTTTCAATATAAATAAATAAAAAATAAAATTGCTGCAAGCTCCTATATATTCTACCGTACATAATTTCATGAAAAATTCTAAAATTTATTTTGTAGTAGAGTGAGTGATCAGTTAATGAACATAATCCGTTCCAAGACTTTGTTTGCTATCTGAATTGTTCGTTAACAGATTATCAATATACCATAAGTTTTTATGGGAATTTGATTAATTCATTCTAGAGACCCCCAAAATAAAAAATTATATACTTTCTTACTATGTTTATTTATATGTAATAATAAAAATACATATATACACAGTTCCATTTTTTCTGTTTGTGGGGCATTAAAGAAGCTGTCCAATGCCAATTGCTTTTCACTCTTCTTCAGGATTTTTCAGAAGTNAAAATAAAAAATTATATACTTTCTTACTATGTTTATTTATATGTAATAATAAAAATACATATATACACAGTTCCATTTTTTCTGTTTGTGGGGCATTAAAGAAGCTGTCCAATGCCAATTGCTTTTCACTCTTCTTCAGGATTTTTCAGAAGTAATTAATAGCATTGTTGTTGTAGATCCCTAAGCCTATTAACCTCAACCTGGTTTGGATGCCATTTTAAAACCATCGTTCTGACATCCTCCCATTTCTTCAAACCATCTTTAGTAGCAGATGTCAGCATTAATTTTCTTTTTCAGAAGAAAACATATCTTGCCAAGTTTCTTGATGTTCTTCATTCAAGAGTTATTGGTATTCTTCTGTCGTCAGATCAGTTTCAAATTCCATTATGAGCTTTTCAATGTTCTTTATTACTTGGATGTGATTTTTGTTACTCCTTTAGATGCTTGAGTCTTCTTGATTACACAGTATATTTCTTAGATAAGATTGAACTGTGACCTACTGTAGACCTGTTCAAGCCATACTGCCCAGTAACATAGACATCTTCTACCCACTCTTTACCTTTAACTATTATACTCTCACCTTTTGAAAATAAAAACAGATGCAAAACTTAATGAGTGCCTGCTCGACAGTTTCATGAATACTATAAAAAAATTCTTTCTGTCAGAAAAATTAAAGGCTGGAATTACAAGGGAGAGTTTCAAAGTACGGAGGAATACTATACGATCAGTATATATCAGGGCTGAGCTCTGATGTCGACGTCTCCTGCACTCCAAGAAGTTTCGAATTATTGCCTGGAGACAATGGAAGACAAATCGATATTCATTATTTTATGCTGCTTCTTCTTGTGTTTGTTCTGTGAGGTGTTCGTTGTCCAAACATAAAAATCTTTTGCGAAAGTGTTTGTTATCTGATTTGTTCATAGTCCGAACTGTTCATTAACTGATCACTCACTGTATTTTTGAATAATAATCAAACTCTATGTAATTGCATATTCAAACTGAAAAACCAGTAAACATTTATAACATAGGATTTTTCTTGGAAGAAAAATGTTTATTATAGACACATTTAATTATTTTTATAATAAATTTTTCATTAAATTTATTAAAAATTAAAATCAATCAAAAAATTCACAACTGAAATATTTTACGAGACTCATATCATCATTGAATCATTGACAAAAAGAATGGATTCTGGTGATTCTTTTTTTTTAAATTCATCCAAATGAACAACTCACTAATAAATCATCCCAGCTCTAAACCTTTGAAATCATGACTAAAACCTATTCTGTTATCTGGTTTCTGATTAGTCAGCAGAGAATGATTTTTGTAAAACATACATTATTCCATGGTTGTTTTTAATTCATAAATTAGAAAATCAAGCACTTTAAAGCACTACAAAAAGCATTAAGCACTTTTTTAAATATGGCTTTTTGAGATTTGCAGTAATCAGACAATTCTATCTGAGAGCATTATTTTTTATATCAATGAGTATATATCAATTTTAACAATTAATTTAATGCAATTTTTCTTGCATATAATAAATATTTTTATTTTGATGAAAAAAATTATTGAATGAAGTGTTTCATATTAATGAAATATCACATATTTTCATAAATATATATTTCCATGAATGTCTTCTCCTTATAAATTACTTAATTTTATATTAATTAAGCTTTTAACTTACCATTTGGATTTAAAGTACACTTTGACATCACAACTTTGTCTTGAATATAATCATATAAAGTAAATCCATGTGCTGTTCCAGCTGCCACTCTAATATGATAAAATAACAACAACAATAATATATAAGTCACATGATTATGAAGTTAAATAGTTTAATTTAATAATAAGAATAATACACATTTTTTAAATTAAATAAACTAATAGAATTTTTATCATATATAAAAATATATGATATCAACTAACTTAAAATGTGAACATAACTAGAAAATTATGGCATGTTTAATAAAAACAATTTTTTTGGTTACATATAGATTGTATTTTCTTAATAAATTAAACTGTATTAGAAAATAACACATATGAATGATTTTCAATTGTCTCATGTTCAGAATAATCAGAAGCATATTAGACAAGATAATGTACTTAACTTTAAATAATTTGGTACATAAATTCATTTTATTCACAACAAATAAAAATAATCTATTTAAAATGAAAAACCAACATATTATAAAATTAATTAAATCAACGTAATAAAGGTTAATATTAACCAGTGATGTCTACAAACTAGCTACACCACAATCTAATTGACAGATAAACTTTCATGAACTCAGATAAGAAAGTGGCCAAAATGAAGATAATGCTAAAAAACAGGGCCACAAATTTCAAATGGAAACTTTAAATCTGTTGACAATAAACTTGTTCAAGGTAGAATATGGTTATTTATATGATCAGAGTCCGCATGGCAGTTTTTATTTCCTATCCAGCAAAAATCTTCTGGTGAGAACAGTGCAACTTTCTTCTGGTCAATGTTGTACATACTGAAATGGACAGTATAGGAAATGTAGCACTTTTGGCATTGGGAAAACAGTGGAAAATCATTTGAAACTACTTCCACAAAAGGACACAAATTAGAAAACATAACTTTATCCCATTCAGTGAAGAACCCAACTTCCCACTTCCATCATCATCTTACTCAACCACCTTTTCTCTTGCTTGCTATTTGATCCCTTAGATTGATCACTACAACAGTCATAAACAAAACTATAAATTTCATGGACCACTCATCCAGTCACCAAACTACATGTGCATATGGAGAGTAGAAACAACAGACAGCCTACTATTAAAGCAGTAACATGAGGTTGAACTTTTGAAGTAATGCAAAACATTTCTCATTCTTCTCTAGTTATGAAAATTTTTCTAGTTATGAAAATTTTTCACTTATCTTTAAAGAAATGTTTAAATGATTTATATTTTTATAGTTTCAATTAGATTCTGACTGAATTCAACTGATTGCTTTATAGTGCACAATGTTGCATCAAATATCTATATGTAAATGTATAAAATATAGATTAGATCTTTTTTGAATCATCGTAAGTAAAAATCCAATCAAAGGTGTGATAATTCTAAACTTTGCACAATTTGCATACAATGATATACCATATTTTCTTGCATATGATAATTTTTGTGAACTGTGTATTCGCATTTTTTACTGGATGCTCACCCTCTGGTGTTTAAAAACAAACTCATTTTATCTGGGTCGTTTGAATCCTTCTTGTGTATTGTAAGGAGTAAAGATGAATAGCAATAGGAAACACAAAGCTTTTGAATTGAAATTCCAAAATCACACAGGAGCATGACATAAGTTTTAATCCAATCCCATGTGAAAACAGATTATTATTTGGAAATCAGAAAAACTCATAAGTGTAATTGATGGAGAATGGATTCGATTGTTAAGAATTGGCAAAAAGGTTTCTGATTGTCCAGCTTTACATAAACAAATTATATTGTCGATTTTACAAGATTTTTCCTTAAAGTTTAAAATTAAAATGCCAATAATTTTTGCAGAACAATGTGTGCATTTACATGCATTTGATATTTTATTTGTGATTTAAACAAAATAAAATTAAAATTGTATTAATAAATCTAATTTTATTTTGATTTTTAAAGTCACACCCTGTCCTTTAAGCAAGATCATCTTATACATGAATAAATACAGTAATTCACAGTAACTGTAAGATTATAACTTAGGTGCCAATAATAATAATAATAATATATTACTTTACACAATTAAAAATATAAATTAGCAATACATTAAAACTGCATCCATTTGAAGATATTTACTAGCATCAAGTTATTTTGCACTATAAATAATATTTTATATCTAATTTCATGCCAACAATACAATAAAAAAGGTCATAACACTTACAATGACCAATCAGAATGAAGAGCAAGAGCAGTAACTGCTGCAGGTGGTGATAGCTGCAATATCACTTTTGGTTGATAACCATTTTCTAATTTTTGAGCACCTGTTTTTCTGTTCAATTGACTATGTCCTTTCCATACAAAATTATCTCGATCTCCTACAATATTTGCTGGTGCATACTAAAAATAAAAATGAAAAATTTATTGTAATGTATTTTTATTGCAGCAAGGTTGGTAACTATTATTGTTATATCCTATCATTTTCTAAATTTCTGTGTGGATATTAAACATAAGAAATTAGATATACATGCCGTTATTTCTTTTTCTACTTCTTCACTCTGTAATTCTAAAATAATTACTTGTCCAGCAGTGCCTGCAATAACTAGAATGCCACTTAAAGTACACAAATTAATTTTTTTAATAGCTAAACGTGGGTCATCACTGTATGGATCAAAAGTTCCAATCTGTAAAATAAGCATTTACTTCTATAAAATTATTATAAATTATGGGATTTATTTCATATATATAAATAAAAACATACAAAACTATTAAATTAAACTCATATTCTTTATTGTGAAAATAACAATAAAACTTAAGTGAACAAACAATGCACTCAATTTTTAAAAAAGTAAGTATAAATATATAATTATATTTATTATGCACTAAAAATATCATCTAATATTCACTTGTCTATATTTACTTCTATAAATTACAATTGCTATACAATTTAAATTTCTTTATAAAATACTGTATATTTGTAATTTAATTCAAATATAATAATAATACTAATACTCATAGATTCAGTCATTCTACGGCAAGCACACAAACAACACAGAAACATACACATGGCATATATAGACTACAGAAAAGCATTCGACAGTGTTCCACACAGTTGGCTGCTACATATTCTACACATGTACAAAATACATCCATCACTCATTGCATTCTTCGAAAACACTATGCAGCACTGGAGAACAACACTGCATCTCAGGGTTAGTAACACTTCCATACAAACAAACGAAATATTCATTAGGCGAGGAATTTTTCAAGGAGATTCCTTGAGTCCTCTCTGGTTCTGCCTAGCCCTGAATCCATTATCCAACATGTTAAACAACACGCAATATGGCTACAATATCAGACATGAAAAAACAACACAGTTTACACTGTCACATCTCATGTACATGGACGACATAAAACTTTATGCATCCACACAAAAACAACTTCATCAACTCCTACAAATCACACATTCATACACTAAGGACATACAAATGGAGTTTGGCCTAGACAAATGCAAAAAACTTCACATAGAAAAAGGAATCCTGAAGAAAGAAGATTTTGCACTTGGAAATGGAGACGTTATTGAATCCATGGAAGAGGGCGAGTTCTACAAGTACTTAGGATTCCAACAGGCCAAACTAACAGAACATACACAAATAAAGCAACGATTAATTAAAGAATACCAAAGTAGGTTAAACGCTATACTTAGAACACAGTTAAATGCAAAACACACAGTTAAAGCAATAAACACATATGTCATCCCAGTACTCACATACTCTTTTGGAGTTATACATTGGACTCACACAGATCTCGAGCAACTCCAAAGGAAAACAAGAACAACACTTACTAAGCATAAACAACATCATCCTAAATCCGCCACAGAAAGATTAACCCTTCCACGTAAAGAAGGCGGACGTGGCCTGATTGACATAGTTAACCTTCACTACAAACAAATACAGTCACTGCGAGAGTTTTTCTACAAGAAACAAGAAACATCACAGTTACATAAAGCAGTAACTCTAGCAGACTCAAATAACACACCATTAAACTTACACTCACAACATACAGACATGACACAACATATAAAAAGCATAGACAACATTAAGCAATCATGGGCTCAAAAGGCTCTCCATGGCAGGCATCCTTACGACCTGGCCCAGGATTTTGTTGACAAAACTGCGTCAAACAGCTGGTTAGATCGGGGATGCCTCTTTGGGGAGACGGAAGGATTCATGATTGCCATACAGGATCAGGTCATAAATACTAAAAACTACAGAAAACACATACTCAAAGATACAACACTCACAAATGACACATGCAGAAAATGTCACATCATGCCAGAAACTATACAACACATCACTTCTGGTTGCAAGCTCTTGGCACAGACAGATTACTTACATAGACACAATCAAGTAGCAAATATAATACACCAAGAGCTTGCAAAGAAACACAAATTGGCAGACATCCACGAACCATACTACAAGTATATTCCACAGACAGTATTGGAAAATAACACGCACAAAATGTATTACGACAGAGCCATAATCACAGATAAAACAATTTACCACAACAGACCAGACATCACACTCATTGACAAACACAATAAAATCACATACATTATAGACATAGCCATTCCAAACACTCACAATGTACAAAACACATGCACTGAAAAAATTAGCAAGTACACAGAACTCGCCCAGGAAATAAGGCATCTGTGGAGGATGGATAGGGTGCTTATTGTACCTGTTGTTCTCTCCTGTACAGGTGTGATACCACACACGCTACACAAAAGCCTGGGAACATTACAATTGAGTAGAAATACATACATCACACTACAGAAGGCCACTATATTGAATACATGCCATATTGTTAGGAAATTCCTTAATACAGACACTGACACACACATTTAATTTTAGTTTTGTTTTGGTTGCTATGCCTTGACTCTGGTCCGGCATAGTACACAGCCACCGGTGTGAACCAAGTGTAACTCACAAAACCCAATATAATAATAATAATAATAATAAATAAAGTACTTATAATATCAATTTCTTTTAATATAACTAATCAAAATTATCACCTTTTTAAATATTCCAGCAAATAATTTAATATCGTAAAAATGTTTTTGATCATTTTTAACAATCTTCATCAGTTAAATGATAAAGTAAAAAGAACCTTCTTTTTACTTTATCAAAAGGTGATAATTTTGATTAATTCTTTCTAGTTCCAGTACAAGTTAATATTTTTATTTAATATAAAAATTTTTACTTTACGAAATGGCGGCCATTCTTCCATCTCTTCAGAAGCATTTTGTTCATGTTCCTCACTAACAAACAGGTAAGAAGTCTGCAGAGTATATAAATGATATAAAGATATTCCAGATGCATCCCAAAATCTTACTGATCCATCTTCATGTCCAGTCAGAAGTATATCAAATGTTGAAGACTTTTCAATCAAGTCTTTTCCTCCATCAATTGGCCAAATCTAATTGTCATAAATATTAAATAATATATATACAGTATAGACTATAACCTGTCATAAATTACAGAAAAAAATTAAAGCAATTTTAAACTGAAAGTAATTTATTTTTTTAATTGTAATTAAATTGAAACTCAAAAGTTAACAATTAAAATTTAATAGTCAAACACTTAACCATTAAGATTTAATGGACTGTTTTAAGAAAAATTTGAATATGAATAGCGGTAAAAGGAATGTAAATTTCACTATAAAAAGAAATTTTCTATAGATATAGGATATCACATCATTATAATAGTCTAATAATAATGTAGTGTAAAAATGATTTATTAGTTACTTCTGATAGAAAATACTTTTGCTAATTCAGGTAATACTTTTGAAAATATCAAAGCAAATTTATTTATTTTATTTTTACATATACATAGACTCTTGCTAAACTGATGTCTTTTATCTCACTAATCTGGCATTCCTCTGCAAGGAATGGCATAGAGATTAGTGATATAAAAGGTCAGATTAGTGAGATAAAAGACATCAGTAATTCTTTATTAAATTTGATGCTACATAGTTACTAGCTGTAGTACAGATGTATTTAAAAAACAAATAAGAGATGTATTTGTAGAAGTAAAAGAAATTTAAAATGCAATACAGCACAATTGAGATGTTGATTTTCTACTCAGTACAGTCACTTCAAAAATGTCATGTATATTTACTTGCTTTAATAAAGATGCTCATTAATGGCACGCTTTGCAAACAACCATTTTACAAGCAATACATTGATACTGCATGTCTGGCTGTTGGATTATGTATGCAGGAAAATACCAGCAGTGTGAGATATCCTAAACATTTTTGATGATTTCTTCTGTTAAAGCCTGGTCTACTCTATAATATTCCTCATTCAACCAATTAGTAGTGGCCACTTCATCAACAACTTCTCTTGGAAGCTTTGTGAAACATATCAACAAACATAGCATTCATAAATGATTCTGAATTGACTGACTCTCTATCACTCAATATACAGACTTCAACTCATTGTCAAAAGTCATGCTTTTTTTCCAACACTTCACTATTGTAATACTCTCCACAATGTCTCATATTTCTGCTGTTTGGATAACAACATAACTCATATTGGTTGCTTTCCACACCTTCAATATAGTTTCATTTTCACATTCATCCAATAGGGAAGTAAGAATGCATGTCAATAGCAATGCTTAATTGATTCCAAAATTCCCTAATCCATAGGTTGAATTAGAGCTGTCACATGTGATGGGAAAAAGACAACTCATATATCACCTAATTTCAGAGACAAGTCAGAGGGATGACCAGAAGTGTTATCAATTAGGAGGATGGCTTTTAACAAAAGTTTCTTTTTCTTCAGTTCACAGAGCTGGTTACAAATTTATCATGAAATCACAGAAAATTTCTGAGTCTCATCTTTCATCTTACTGTACTGAAAACATCATAGCTGTTGGGCTTTTCCAATCACCAGGAAAGGAATCTTCCATCAACATTACAACATGTCATCAGTGTAATGTGCTGTTTTTTATACCCACAAACTTCCTTTTCATTCTTGGCAGGAAGGATTTTTGAAGGAAGCATTTTGAAAAAGCACCAGTGTCATCAGCATTGTACACTGCAGTTGGAGTTAGTTGTTCTTCCTTTATCTTGTTCTCCAGTTTATTTTTTAAACTCTTCTGCATCTTTTTCATTTGCTGACCAACTTTCTCCAGTAACTGTCAACTGCCATGTCTTTTCTTCCAATTTAATAGCCAGCCCTCACTTGCTGTAAACCGTTAGTTGCTGCAAGTTCTTTGTCAAACGCCATTGCACTTTTCTCTGATCATTTGTATTCCTTCACTCTGTTGCTGTATGAGCCATTTGTAAATGGCTGAATGAAGTTTATCATTCTCCAAGTCACTGTCTATTTGAATGGCATATTATCAAAGCTGATTCTCTTTCATCTTTATGTCATAAATAGTGGTATATCCAATGATGTACTCTATACTAATGAATTTTTCAAACAATCTTACTTTAACTTCTCTAAAAATTTCCAATTTTTGCATGAGTTCTAATCTAAGTATTTTTTTTTAGTCATAATTGAAAGACACCACACCAAGTCAACCACTTTCCACACTTTTAAATCAAAACTGAAACCTCATACATGTGTGAAGTTTCAGTTTCAATAAATGGCATCACACAGAATGGTCATCCATGTGACCCACTCCATTTATATCACAGCTGGAGGATGGATAATTGACAGGCCAGATTAGCAAGAGTCTACTGTATATACATAATAACAAAAGGCAAAAAATGACTATCCCAAATTATTCAAATTTTAAAACTATTTCAATAAAATAAAAAATTCTCCCCTTAATTAATTGCTTAAATTAAATATATTAAGTAAATTGATATATCTTCTTCGTGCCATATCAGATTTCTGACGTCGGCGACACCCGACGCAGATTAATAATACGCCAAGGTGTTTACTAGGGAAGGTTAGTACCCAGAGTGGTTTCCCGTTGCCTTCTCTGGGGCGCGATGTTACGCGAGGGGAAAGAATGCCTTCCAGGAGGACTTTTATGGGGAACTGGCCTCCTATTTAGTCGTTATTGGCAAGGAGAAAACCCGGAAAACTCCAAGCAGCCAGCCTGTCCGATCGCGGCGCGAACCCATGACCGAACTCCCAGTGTTTAGGGTACGAAGACCGCTCGGCCACTGGTGGGCCAAATTGATATATATCTATAAATATAGTTCATGTTTAATTTTTTAAAAATCATGATGCAATTTGAATAATTCTACCAAATACTGATTATTATTTAAGAATCTGGTAAACTCACAATTAAAACTAGTTAATATTTTTTTTTGTTAATTTGATTAATTTTATAATAATTCACAACTGAAATTTTTACATGAAATTAAACAAATCCAACTGATATTTATATAGCATAAAACTCAATTATAAATGGATATTCAAGATGCATTCGTTACAATTTTTTAAATTTAAATGAATTATAAAAAGTCGAGTCAGAAATCTTACCCTTTCTGTGTATTTCCCAGAAACTTGTTTATTTCCTGCTGTAACAATTTTGTTCCAAACATCTTGACCAATATTAGTACAATGTTGACAACATGTGATAGCTGAAGAATGCAAACTTGATAAGTATGGTAATCTAAATGGCAACCAATCTTCTGATTCTAAGTCAACAGCAATTAATTCTTCTTCAGCAAGAACAATTAAAGAATGTGGATTGTCAAATTCTGTAGAGAGATAGTTCCAATATTTCTTAAGTAATCAATTTTATCTAAAACCAAAACTGAAAATCAAAGTAGTATGTTTACAAATATCTATTTTATAACTGCAAAATATTTTAGGCATTAAAACTTTTAATAAACAAAACCCTATTAATTGATTTAATGTGAATAACACAAATAAACATCATGGAGAATTGCACAACTGTTGGGTATGATGAAGTTACTTGTCATGAACACATTGTCCCTAGATTTTATCAAAATTTAAAAAATTTTTTTTAAATTCTAGTATCTGAGGCACTTTATTGATTTTTTCTCAGATATTCTATCATATACAGTTGAGAAAAATAGTTAAAATATTACTGATATATAGTTGTCACCATGTACAAACAGAGGATGTAGTTAAATGTAACCTCATGTTTGACTGGCTATTGAATCTGTTCTCACCAGATTGGTTTCCATTTATTTTGTTTGGATGAAGTTACTAGTTATACTAGATAAAGTTACTAGTTATACTGTGCCTTTAGGATATGTGATGTTTGTTGCAGCTGTGTTCATGCTGGAAGAGTTTAAATTATCTTACAGGCTGGTTGGTTTAATGTGCTATTTTATTTTTATTAAAATTGTTCAATGTTATTTTGTGAATTTGACATTATACAAGTATATTACTTTTATATTTTTAAATCTTGTGTAAATGCTTTTTCTAAATTATCTGCACTTAAAACTTTTATTTGAATTTAATATATTTTATGATATATTGATTTTTTTCAGAAAACTTTTACTTTTTAATGATTTTTTAAATGTATATTTATGTTATGTGTAATTGTTGTTCAAAAATATCTAATTAATAAAATATTTACCCCTGGTCTGGAATTGCTATAATTTTACCCTTATTTTAAAATTTTTGTAAAATGGCTTCATTTCAAACTGAAAAGTTCTGTTCAATTTTCCATTCAGAATTCTTTCACCTAAAGATGACAAATATACTCACTGAAAGTGCAGACATTTAAGAATTTAATAAAATTCTTTCATGTTTAATGCCATAAGACAGTTTATTAGTTACTTATTTCTAATTAAGAACATTCTTATACTAAACAGTCAGCACTGTGAAAATTTCAAACTAACAAAAGGTAGGTTAAAAAGATCCATTAGTGGAATGTATAAATGTAACAAAATTGGACAAAGTGACATCAGCTGTTTGACATTAGAGAATCTTAAAATAAAATAATATAAAAAGAAAAGCATTCAGTGAAATTTTAATGTGAAAATACAAACTGAAAAACTGGTTCATCTACATTTTCTAACCTGATTGACTAATGTTTGACAATTTTTGATGAGTTTACTAAATGATTTTTGTTTGGCAACAACTTAATTATCATGATGTTTCTTTTGTAGAATCAGTCAATTTGCACATTTAAATGTTCTCGTTACATTGGTTTTCTTCAGTTTGTCCATAAGTGAGCATAGTTTTAGAAAAATATCTTGCAACTGCATGAATAATGTGAATAATTTTTGTTATATTTGTAAAGAAAGAACTGACATTTACTTAAAAAAAAACGAAAAATCACTTCACTGGTATGTATGGCATATCATTTCTATTTTAGTTATAAGATCAGCACCAATCATACAACCAAAGTAGAGACAACAGGATAAGGAATGGGCTCAAACAGTTGCAACAGCTGTTTGAGCCCAACTATGAAACAATTCTGTCAGTTGCTGTTCTCACAGTAGGGAAGGAACCCAAAGGTCACAGACAACTGTGATTTTTGGATGGCAATCTCCATTCAATAAAGGTCTTTTAAGAAGAAAATACAGATCATAAGTTATCACAATATTTCATCTGTAACTTGATCTGTACATCAGAGTAAAAAAATTTCAAATCATGGGCTACCAGAATCTTTTTCACACAAGTATACAGAAAAAGACAAAGTAATAGAAGCTAATGATGATGATGCTGAGCTATCAACACATACAAATCTAGATTTCTTGCTGAGTACAGATGAAGTTTCCTCATAAAATAAGCCAGAATGAAACCTAGAACTGCTTAAAAATAAAGCTAAGTTTCAAGCAGGTTAAAGCATTGGAATTTCTTGGAAGAAGACATATCAATTATAACCTTCATTTTTTGTTGTCATTTTTTAAAATGGATGATAATCTTGTCTTCTGTAGTGGTGTAAATGGGCTTATTGGCAGCCATTGATTTAAGCTACAATCCATATGAATGAACAACTGTTCAGTGGCTCTTCCTAGACAAGCCTGAAAACTTCTTTTACATATGAGAACTAATTATTTTGTTTTTCACTCACACGTATCTACAACATACATGTGAGTGAGGAATGCTATCCTATAATAACAACACATGTTTAACCTATTCCCTAGTATTCCCAACATATCTTGGCCGAAACATGACCTTGACGTGCGAACCCGAGATATCTCGTCTCTGCATCAAAACGTTTTTGACACTAGATGTCATTAGTTGGCATAATTTTTATATTAAAACTAACTTCTGAAATATAATTTTTCTTTTGTTTTTACATTTATTAATATGTCTATTTTGTTTGTGAAAAATAAAAAAGTAATTTTGGACAATACAATAGTCACGATTATTTTTATCTAAAACGTGGAATTTTCATTAAGCTTAACATCAACAAAAATTCAACCTGGAGTGACATGCAACGGAAAAAAGTTTTAACATGGGATAGGTTAAAGTAAAGCATTCGTTTAATGTAAAAATTGTGTTGATATTATCAGTTTTGTGTCGTGCAACAAATTAAAATTTGAATATAATGAAATAAATCTTTAGATTCAACAAAGTGTTATTGAATACATATATTTTAGTTAATATGAAAATCATATATTTTTAATCACCTGAATTTTCACCCATATTAGATATGGTAAAAAAATCAATGACTTTTGAAGTGAAATCTAGCACTTGATGACGATCTCCATGCATAACAGTAACTGTATTTCTTTCACCAAAAGTAGCACGAGGCATGCCACCAGAAAATATTATATAATCATCTCTGCAAAAAATAAATACAAATTTTAAATCATCAAGATTATAACACTATAAATATAACACATTAGTAACTCTGGCTTGATATAAAATATTTTCTGTCAAAAATTATAAAAATATTTTAATCCATTTTACAAATGAAAAAATTACATAAATTATAATTTCCAGATTAATTAATTATAAATCAATGCTCATTACTTCTTTCTTGATTATTTAAAATATATAAAAAATATGATCATCAACCCTATAAATTTATCCTCTGTATGGAGCATTTGGTACATAAAAGATTACAAGAGCATCGATATAATACAATAAAAGAAGAAACCATCACCACCCTGTCTATTTATGCTAGAGGATGATGTGCAACTTGATCTTCAAAATGCAACTCTGATCAGACAATCCATGTAAACTAACAATAGCAGGGCTTTTGACGCTTTAGAAATCTACAAAGCTGACTTGATGGGCAATTGCATTAACTTCAAAAAAAAAAAAAAAATGCTTGGCAATACTTTTATGATAAACCAAGCAATACCAACACACATTATATATTATATTTCAAGTATAGGTATAATTAATTCTTATACTTGTATCAATTTTTATCTTGTACATGTTAATTAACTCATTGTAGACTGACAACCTAATCTTTATTTATTAATTTATTTTGTATTTTTATATCTTTATATTTTATTCCAAACACAGGTAAACTTGGTTAAAAAAAGTTGAAAAAGGAGTGCAAAATAATTTGAATCGAACAATTTTATTGATAGTTATTAAGTATTACAGATAAAATGTAATTAATTTGGTTGTCACATTTTCCTGTTAAGCTTAATTCATACCAAAGACAATTTGCTGGCAAAAGTGAAAAAAACAGAGTAAATAACATGTCATATATGACATCATTTCTGGCAAATTTTAATTTTACCATTTTGCTAATTGCTCAGAAGTTTGAAACTGTTGAACTTTTTGCTAGCAAAAAAATTTCATCACTTTGTTGTCAGGTGTTTCTTATAGTTTTTAAGATGGTTACAAAATCATTACACAACAGATGTCAAAATTGGCATGATATTCTTGCAATTCACACTTATTAAATATTTCTCACCCAACATCCTCTTTTTTTAACATATCTTTCATTTATTGTAAAAAATATGTAACAATGATTAAAAACAGAATGTTGGAAGTTTACATTAAAAAACCTTCATACATGAATACTGGAACGCATATAAATTAACACTCAAAAACCTTCACAGTCCAGTATTAAATATTTAATAAAAAATAAATGCTTTTGACCATACTTTCGGTATGGTCGAAAGCGTTTGTTTTCTATTAAATATTTAGTACTGTACTGTTAAGGTTTCCGAGTGTTAATTTATTGTTTTATTTTTACTAATGACAGTTATCTCTTACTTATAAATGGTTGGCTGCCCAAATTTCAAAATTGCTTTTTGCAGTCCAGGCCAATTTTGCATTTGTTTTCTGCTCTTTATTCAGTGTAAACTAAGCTATTCCAGGTTTGAATTATCCAAAAATTAGAAAAAAAATTTGAATTAAACAAGTAATATTTACACTAAAGTTATAGTTCAGAAACTCAAGGAAATCTGTAGAATTCAAATTAACCAAGTTTGACTGTATTTGAAATTCATATTGTTCTTTTGTGCATTCCAATTTAGAATGTTGTTGACCTGAAGCAGATCTTGTTTAAGATTGAAAACATTTGCCAAGTTTATATTAAATTTATTTACTGAGATTAGCAAGATTTTGTTTGGTGTATTTTGTTAAATATAATGTAAATTTCAGCAGATATTTTTGAAACACCCAATAGAATTTTAATTTTAATTGCTATTTTTTAATATCATACTGACTAATAAATTATAATTGAAATTGAATGTTAAATACATGATATTTTATAATATAAACTAACAATTGCAATATAGAGTTAAAGATATACTTACTCAGCCTTTGCTGTCTTCCATACAATTTTATTAATAGCTTTACAAGGGAAAGGACCTATATAAAATAAAAATTTAATTTAAGAAATATGCAAAAAATTGCAACTTTCATGATATAATTTATTATAATTATTTTACAATTATAACAACATATTTATTTTGTTAAATATTAAAGCAGTCTAAAAGATATAACAAAAATTTTATTTTTTAAAACAGTTTACATTTAAATAACTTTTCTTTAATGATGGATATCCCAGTGTTCTCCCCAGACCCTTTCGGATGAGTATTCTGTCTGGATAAATTTAATGACTGCTCACCCAGCCATTCAATCTGATCTGACATCCCAAAAGACTGATAGTTTCTTTAGCATTAAAGGAGTCAAGTTAAAAAATTCAGCGAGTTGCTTAACTTTCCTGGAAATATTAAAACTGCATGTGTGGTGCCATCTGTTACATTATTTTATTGTTTAAAACTTTTTATATTTTTAATTATTATAAACTGGCAAAAAGCTTAATTTTCAGGATAAGGAAGAGTTTAATAAAAATAACTGTAAATGCTAACAAGTAAAATCATCCTCAAGTCCAACCCTACTCAAGATGTGGCATGATCCCCCTTTATCTCCCCATTCCTCAACCTTTAACCACCATAATTTAATAGCATCAACCCCCCTCCAATATATAAACTTCCCTGCAAAATTTCAGAAATTTTCAACAAAAATCACAGGAGTTATTAAGCTTTGAAGAGGGTGAAGAAAATTGTGCATCCACACATTAATATCCATAACGTATAGAAAAATTTTCTTTGCATTTCTCAACATTCAAGATCCCAAGTCCAAAAATGTAAAAAGCTCAATGGGTCAGTTTTTGACCAATCATCATACAACAGAGCCAGGAAAATAAAGTACCTTAACTTTTGTTGTTTTAAGTAGAAGCAGAAAGTCAATAACATTAATAACCAATAGAAAATGAAGATGATTGTGACATTAATAAATCAACACAAAAGACACAACAAAATGTAATGTTGATCACTTAATACTGCCATATTAGAAGGCTTTTAGATATCCACCAATAACTTTCAAAAAGAATGGTTAGAAAACACGTACACTGAACCAATATAATGTGTGGTACGAACGACGAAACAAAAACAAACGTTTTCGAACCTCTTCTAGGTTCTTCCTCAGGTTCCTTTAGCTTTTTAGCTCGTAAATTCGATATTTCAAATAACTTCGTTCTTGCGATCGAACAGTATTGTATTTTTAACATCCTAAGGAATGGGAAGGACCCTCCTAACCCCAGCAGAAGACCGGGGGTCTATAGTGTCCCTTTGAGAGATAACAGATTCGACAGGGACTTAATATATATAGGCTCTACTAAAAGATCCATAGGTGTCAGAATACAGGAGCATAAGGCAGACATTCGTCACGGGAGAACCAGCACGGCCCTCGCTACATACGCAACAGACCCGGGCATAGTTGCTGACTTTAATAGGACCAATCTCCTCCTCGGTGCGCCTCCCAATGAACATCTCAAGTGGTTAGAGGCGATGCACATCTTTAAATCCTCTATCGAAACCACGTGCATAAATTTTAAAGAGGAGATGATCTTGTCGATGGCCTGGCAAGAGTTGATACATAACACGCTTTAACTGCTCGTTATTTCCGAGCAAGCGGACATGTCACGCATGCGTGACGGATAATTTAAAAGAAATGTTCGATCTTAAGAAAGAAATTATTTAAACAACATTCGTTAATGTCTTTCGTTGACGGCAGTCGTTAGTTTGAACGGCATGCGCGACACATCTTTTAAAAAAGAACTGTTCGATCGCAAGAACGAAGTTATTTGAAATATCGAATTTACGAGCTAAAAAGCTAAAGGAACCTGAGGAAGAACCTAGAAGAGGTTCGAAAACGTTTGTTTTTGTTTCGTCGTTCGTACCACACATTATATTGGTTCAGTGTACGTGTTTGATATATAAGTGTGGTGAGTTGTGAGTTTTTTGAATGGTTAGAAATTGAGCGTAAAATATTGTATGACTGTATCATCCATCTTAAAATTCTAGCATCACTTTGATGGCACCATAGTGCCATTGAAGTGATGCTAGAATTTTGTGGTAGGTGCAAAAAGTTTCCAGCCTAACTATGTTTTAGATGTTACAGGTCTAAAACATAGTTAGGCTGGAAACTTTTTGCACGTTGTTTTAGACGTTATAGGTCTAAAACAACAATGTCATTTTTCAATATAGTTTCTTGCAGTTCAACACACTTATTACATCTTGAAATTAGTATTTCAATACTCCTTAAAAAATAGTCTGCAGTTTTATCTGCAAAATGCTTAAACTGCATCCTGCAACTTTTCATCACTTTTTCAAAGTCTTTTTTGAGTTTTGGAATCAGATGATAATCACTAGGAGCCAGGTCCGAGCTGTAGAGTGGATAGTCAAGCTCCTTAAACCCACACTTCTTCACAGCAGCATTGGAAATGGCAGCCATGTGCACCTGTGCATTGTCCTGCAAGAGACAAACATGTTGCAAATTAATGCAACAAGTCTTAACTAAAATGAATGTTTGCAAGAGACTTATGCTGTTTTAAAAACTGTTTTATTAGTCCACATACAGATGGCACAATCTGATACTATCATTATTTTTATTCCTATCATGTCTCTAATATAGTTAGGCCAGAAATTTTTGGCACCTACCTCATAATTATTATTTTAGACATTCTATGTTTTTGAAATACAAAATAGATATGTACATAAAATTTCCTCTTATTTTTTTATTGTTTTCTTAACTTCTCACTTGAATGATTTTTTTTTCAATGAAACAAGTTCTTCATTAGCTGTTTTGTTGCTTGGAAAAGAAAATTTTTTTATTTTCTATTGTATTTGTTCAAAAATGAACAAAAATAACAACAAATTACTGATTTGCTCATATTAAATTAAAAAATAACAATATTTTGTATTTATAAACTCTGCTTTAAAGTTAAGCCAGAAAATTATATTTAGTTAAAAATTTTAATTAATTTACAAAACAGAAAACTGATAAACATAGCAGATAAGGCAAAATTAATAATATAATCATCAATTATTGATAAGAGATGTTGCAGTAGCTAGTTCCACATCACAAATTAACTCCTGCACAATCTCTTTCAAATGCACTTCACTACCTAAGTGTATGTGTTTGGATTATCTATGAACATGATAAAAAAATCTGTGTGTGGAATATATGGAGATAAAAGTGGATAATATACAACTTCAATTTGTAACCATTACAAATACTAGAGTATGGAAAAAAGAAGGAAAAGCAGTTTAAGAAGCTGAATGGAATACGACAACAGGCTAAAATCTCAAAAAGAATATTTATCATTTGGCTTAGAGAATATTCATTTTGTTTACAAATCAATTTATGGGTCCTAGGCAATTGTAAATGTCTTGTTTGCCTAGACATAATTCCAGTCTTGTTTTAGGAAAACATTTAAACACACTTTGAATAAATTTTTAGTAGTATTTTGTAACTTAAGTTTGTATTTGTTATTTGATTGCTTCTTGTTCTCATTTTAACTGTTAGAAGCAAGAATAAAATTGCTTGAGAGAATGAATCATACAGGAACACACAACAAATATAGACAGACAGGCTTTATTGATTCCAAAGGATACACATCATCAGTCCTCTTTTAATTTTTTTGACCAGAATGATGTAAAATTAAAAGAGGACAGATGAGGGACATGTCCAAAATGTGTATTCTGTGCAATCAATAAAGCCTATATATCAATCTTTATTGTGTGTTCCAGTACAATTTGTTCTCTCAAGTAATTTTTATAGTGGTATATTTATAAAATAAAATTTTGAATAAATTATGATAGTACAGAAAAAAAAATTATCAAATTGAAGAAATCATTGCCAAATTGCCAGCTGGCTTGAAATATTGCCAAATCTGGTGATAATTCACCAGAACTAGCAAGGTTGCTTGCACATTGCCCATGAATAACTACGCAGTATCCCTACTAAGTTGGCACCCTAAAAACTGATGACCAGCATATATCATGTAGTCATTGGTGATGAATTACACACAGAAAATATCACTAAACACCAGTGCTTTTTTTGGGAAAAAAAAGGTGGTGGAACGCCCACTTTATATGCAACTTCATCGGTGACTGTCATTTCAACTGTTTTATATTTCACTACTAGTGAAATATAAAACAGTCAAAATGACAGTCACTGGTTGCAATTAGCACTGCGATTCCTGCATTGCTGCCAAATCATGACACAACCAAACACGAGCTGAGCAGTATGTCACAGTCACCACAAACCAAGTTTGAGTACGCATGCATTGTACACAAGATTCGGCACATAAGCATGAGCAGGACAGTCTTAATAATTTTGTTGCCGATCTTCTATGCTCAACAGAGCGATTCAATGTGGATCAAACATCAAATTTTCAAAAATTCTCTTAAAACTTTTAAAATATATTGAAAAAAGGTGGTGGAACGCCATTCCATTACGTTCTATGACAAAAAAAGCGCTGCTAAACACAACATGAACAATGTATAGCATGAGTTAGTTTTACAGCCTGATGTCTATTGTAATGTTCAGAGTTCCTACTCAAATTTTTGTTTTGAATTCCCTGACTTTCCCTGACCAACTTTGTCCAAATTCCCTGACCCTCACATTTTTTAGTGTGGAATATCGACATAATAAAACAGCATTTACTGTTAACATTGAGTACATTTAGCCCTCTTTTTGCACAGTTGATATGCTTCAAAGACTGCCACATTAAAAAAATACAGTACATACATCCTGTAGAAAAATGTTTGATAGAATCCACAATTTCAATGTAATGAAAAAATAAGCAATTTACAAACAAAACACAAGCTTTTTATTTTATCATCATTTATCATTATTATTTGT